ACACCTTGGCTGGAAATGCCTCAAGGACTTCATTGCTTCGTTGCCCGTGGACATGTAGGAGGCGAGCCTGGTCGATGGGTTGGCTTTGGACTTGGAAGGTTCATGAAACTTGAAACTGTGGCAGCTGTGTGGGTTGCAATCACCCAACGTGGTTAAGTAATACAGCCGTAAAACTAGCAACCATTTGTCCAGTATCCGTGGGTGGGCCTCGTTTCCACGAGCATCAAGCACTCTGGTCGCGTTTGTGTGTGTGCTTCGCTGCCATGACCCCAGCTGAGCTCCAATGCACTGTTCGGCGGCTGATCTACTTCAATGCTCCGAAGGCAACTTCTTGCCCTATCCTATCGATGGAACAACAAAATACACCCAAAGTGCTTGTTTGTGTTTTGACCCAGAAAATGAACACGAAGTGCATTTACGGAAAACCCACCCCAGTCCGTATATCCTCATTTGCAAAGGGTTCTTCTTTTGGACTGTCTCCCAGGTATGGCTTCCACCAAGTGTGTTTTTGGGTTCACTGAGGTGTTCGTGATACTGGTGATGGCTGTGTTCTACTTGGACATCCCACCCCCGCCTCAGCCTTTAGAGGTGATTGAAGTCTTTGCCGGCCGAGCTCGCCTCACACGGCTGGCAAAATCTATGGGCATTCCATCGGAAGCCCATGACATTGACTTCGATTTAGAGGGGGCTAAGTACTCAAAGAGTGCGATGGACATCAACAGCTCTGCAGGGCTACTGCTACCTGCTTTCCATTTGGGGCTCGTCTTCGGGTCCATGGTCCATGGATGTCACTATTTGAGGTGTGTTTGTCTTTCAGACAACGCGCGGGACCCAAAACATCAACAGCTCCGTAGGGCTCTTATGAATTGGGATTTTGAAGGGTATCGGCATCTTGGTGTGAAAAAGTGGTTTGTATCCTTTGTGTTGAAGTCTATGGAGGTCACAATTTGAGGGGTGTCTGCTTTAACCCAAAGACTTGATGGGCATCAACAGGTCTGTAAAGCTACTGCTACCGGCATCCTCTTGTTGTAGAAGTTGGGTTTGGTTATTGTTCGGCGTCCTTTTGGTGCAAACAGTGGTTTTGGTTATTGTACCGGTACCTCTTAGTGTTGAGGTCCATGGAGGTCACTATTTGAAGAGGGTCGGATTTAACCCAAAGACTCGGTGGACATCAGCAGGTCAAGAAAGCTACTGCTACCTGCTTATCAGTTTGGGTTTCCCAGGGTGTGGCAGGGTCCATGTGAGGGTGTGTGTCTTTCAGACACTGTGTGGAACCCAAAGACTGCTTACAAGAGCTGCCTCTTTGTTTCGAGGCTACTTCTTCATGGGATTCTATGTTCAGTTTTTGGAGGCATGATATCACTCTTGGGCATATGCTGCTCAAGCTGGGTATCCATCAACAGTGGAACGTCCAAGCGGGACCAGTTCCTCACGCCAATGGGCCTGCTGGACTATGATTCGGTGAAGTCCAGTAACTTTATGGTCGCAAGGCCACAGTTTACCGGGAGTCCTTCCCCCATGTTCTGCCCCATGTTTGCTCCACTCTTGTCGCTTTTCGGGGTGGGGGGGCCTCCGAATCTTTCGAGCTTGGGTTGCGCTGGTTTCCCTGGCCGTAGTAGCTTTCTGGGTGTGGAATTGGTGAAGCCCTACCAAATAACAACTTTCGACCATGTCCCTGCTAGGTGCAGCCTGGTGATCTTACTCATTATTTGTGCTGGCTCGGTCCCGTTGGTGGAAAACCCAAATTCCTCAGTGATATTTTCACACGACCGGCTTTTGTGGCTACTACGGGAGCTGAAGAAGAAAGGTGTTTGCGATTCTTTTCTTTGCAACTAACTAACAGTTTCCATTCTTTGCGGGTTTTTGCTTAATGGGACCCAGACTAAATGGATAGGTTTCTAACGTGTTTCCCAACCCTAGCCTAGATGTGGAGAACCGCGTTCTACATGAAGCACTATGGCCATGCCAACTATAAGCGGACCCGGGTATGGAGCACCAGCTTTGCCGTTTGGCGGCTCAACATGGGAAAGATGAGCACCAAGAAGATCAAGAACGGTCCCCAAACAGTTCGCAAATACACGACCAAGAGTGGAGCAGTGGGATACACTGGCACCCGTGCCCTCAAACAAACTCAGCTCTTTGGCCGCTTGCTAGTACACGATTTTTCAGGTGTTGATTTTCCTGCCGTATGGATTTTTCAACAAAATCACCCAGTGCAGCGGTAACGTTTTGTGTGTGGTTCCTGGGGGTTGGCCTCCCTCTCTGTCTCTCCTTTCCGCCGTGTCCTGAAGGATACGGGCTTTCCCACGCCATGCCCTCGAGATCCCCAAGACACGAAACACCAAAGGGCAAAACTAGTTATGAAAGTGGAAGACACCACCCTTGGTGTTCAATAGTTAGTTCTTCTTCCGGCACAAACTCTCCCGCGAAAGCTTCTGGGTGTCCCTTCAATCATTCCACTCACTTGGCTCGACCCAGGGAGTATACGCCTGCCTTCTGTGCCAAGATCTTGCGACTCCGCCGGAGCCTCCTCAAAGACAAACCCAAACTAAAACCGGTAGCTTGGTCGATTATCAAGCCTTGGGACATTCAACCTGAGAGTTTGATCTGTTCTTTGTTTGTTCGGGGCCTTTGCAACAGACCATGCTGTCTTCATGGGAAGGGACCGATGTCTTCATGGCTGAGGTAGTGGAGCGCGTGGATCTTCCAACCCTGATTTGTGAGATGCCTGACACGGACCGGTGGGAGGACGTTGGCATAGTCCAGTGTTTACAGTACATTAAGAGGAGCTCAAAGCTGAAGATCCCTGAAGAGTTTCGGGGGTCTGTGGGCTCTTACTTGGAGAATCTTTAGCCTGACTCTGCACTGCGCAGCTGTGTGGTGTGGAAAGGTAGTGTGCCTCAATGTCTCCAAAAAACTCAAAAAAATCAAGTTTGGAAATAGGCGTTCTTACCCGTACAATAGGCGTTCTTACCCGTACAATAGGCGTTCTTGCCCGTACGCCTCAAACCATGGAAGTCCATGAGGTTTGCTAGTGCCCTTTGCACCTTGATTTGCTTACATTCGTGGTCTGAAGCCATTTCTAGGTCGGTGGTTGGAAAAGTGAGATGTCAACAGAAACCTTGGACAGGGGTTTGGGTGTGCTTCGTTCCGCCACCATGAGTTTGGAGAGCGACCCGCAATACCAGTTGATGGTTGCAGAGAAGCAAAAGCTCCTTGCATCTAGGCACAGTCAATATATGGAACCACAATACCGAATGTTATTAAGCCCCTCTCACCACCAACTTCCAACCCAGGCACTCCAGGAAGCTCGCCAACTGGCGGCAAGGTCGCAACCACCTGCGGCGCCGGCGGAGGTGATTGAGATTCATGAGACGCAGGACCCTTGTTTCCTCGAAGTGCCAAATCCCATGTGGTTGAAGGTCCGACCAAGTTGACGAAACACCAGAAGTGGCAAGCCTTCGTATTCATTTGACTTGTCTCATGAGGACGGGATGGAGGACAAGAAGGACGCCCACACGCCACTTTCCCCTTCAGGCTACAGCCTCTTAGCTGCACGGCGCTGCATGGGCTTTGTTTGTATTGATGGCAGTGGGTCATGTGATAGCAGCTGATTGCCATGGAACTCAGGTCTATTTCCCTCCAAATGAAGAGGCGGCCACCTTGCAAGACACCTTGGTCGATGCTGAGAAGCCTGGCTCTCCACAACCTCAGCCTCCCCGTCAGCAAGGGGAAACCCAAGAACCGCCGCCTACCGAGCCAATGGGTGGTAAAACGACGGGGGAACAGGTTGATGTCCCTGAACCGCCAAAGCCGCTCTCTGATGGGGCCATTAGGTCACGCTTGAACAGGCTCCTGAAGCGTCGAGCTAATGGAAGCTCCCTGGTCCCTGAAGAGGTTTTGGTGGATTGGGAAAGCGAAGATACGAGAAACACCATCAAGAAGATGTTTGAGAAAGCTGGTTACGACAAGGACCCCACAATTGAGCTATGTTTGAGCTATGTTTTGTGACGTTCACCCATCCCAAACCATTGTGTCCATACTCTGTCAATCCCCAGGAGTTGTTCATTCGCAAAGTCAAGAGGTCTATCAGGAGATCTCCGAAAACTCTTTTGAGACCAACTGGGAGTTCTTGAGTGTGGAGGATATGAAAGAGAAAGGTTGGTCTGAGAATCTTGGCTTTAGGATCAAACGCGCCATGCTAGATTTTGTTCTTCCTG